AAACACTTACAGTCTGGCTTTTAAGGGGGCCCAAATGTTTATAAAAATTATAAGTTAGCAGAAGCACAAAAAGGGGGAAGTCAGAAACTGAATAGTCTTTTTTCCTTTTATATTTGGTATTTTAATTGTCAAATTTGCTTTATATTCTCTTTTCCTTTTTCAATATGCACAGACAACATTAAGTAACAAAACAGTGGAGATCTTAATACTAAGTAATCAGCTTAAGAGTGAAACCTTTATTGTACAATAAATACTTTGACACAATCTGCCGTGATTTTTTAGTATTATATTCAATTCTGGATGAAAAAGCTAAATAGTCTTACACTCATTAACACTGACATTTTAAACCATAATTAAGATTGATATAATATTTCTTTCCTTTTTTGTATTCTCAATGGTCTCAGTTATTTAAACATTAGAGTGTTAATCATCTTTAATCAACCTGTATAAATAACTATGGTATCGAAGCAATATAATGCATTATGTTGTATAACAATATAAAAAATTACTATTAATTAAAAAAAGGAAGCATTTCACTGTCTGATTAACACATACAAGCAAATAATATATGACATCTAATACATGAAAAACAGTACATATAACATGCATTGTACATGATGTGCAAGAAATAATGATGATGTGCCACAATTTGCCAAAAAGAAAGCATGGGTTTCTAATTTATTTATAAAGATTTTAAAATCTTCAGGTTTTAAAAAGCACTGTAAGAACAGTGCCTATGATGAACTTTTCGATTCTGATATTGATAATTTAAACTTTTTAATAGATGTGTCTTTCCTAAAATTGAATACAAATAAAGAGTATACATGTTTCCATTTGAGATAAAGAATAATTCAAGTTACTTTTTTCTGAAAGAGAACCAAAGACTGAACAGGAAAAGTTTCTTTAAGAAAAACCTTTGACATCTGTAAAATCTGGTGAAAGTTTTGGAACTCAGCAATTAATGCAGGCATTTTTCGTCAACATGCTGAACGTAGCCCATTGCTTTAGCCATGTGGTGTAATTGCAGAGGAGAGCTTGTAATCTTCTGAAGGGCGTTTGGAACAGTTTGCTAATTTTGAATGGAAAAAGCAATTTTCCAATTTGTGAGAGTGTTTTATTTTCTTCCTCTTTGTGGACAGCAAGGCTCTTTCCTTATTTGTCTGATGATACAACACAAACCAGAATTACTGTGAATTCTGAATTACTAAATAGTTTCTTTAGTTCCAAGCAGGAGCCTAATAAAGTCCAAGTAGATTTTAACATTTCTGCTGATTGCCTGATATACAGTACTTGCCACCAGGTCATGCTTAGTAACAGAGTGCAGCCTGCAAATGAATTTGCTGATTTTATTAGTCTTCTTTTTGTATCCATAGGTTTTAGCCTTATTTCTCCTCTTGACATGAAATCTAACTTTATAGGTCTTCCACTTTTACAAATGTGTTAACGCCTTTAAACCTTTGAACTGCTGGTGTCATTTGCTGCTGTTTTGTCAATTTGTAACTCTAATATTTCTTCAGTCTACCCCATAAAGAATTTCAGCTGTTGTATAACAGTATGATAACTATACATTTTGGGGAGGGAGCTTAGAAATGCATTTTTGTATACTTTTCCTTTGGCCAGACTTCCCAAAGCACCAAGTCAATCGAATGGCTGGAAATAACATGTGTATGTGTAAGTATGTTGCAGATTCCTTAGATCAGAGTAGGCAAGCTTTTTGGTCCCAGGAGCCACACTGTCCTGCAAAACTCTTGCTAATGGAGTTGTTAACGGTTCTGTTTGATGCTTGGACATTTTCTCCCGCATATTTGCAACATCGCTTTCATTTTTCTATTCTAGTGCTTAGACTCTAAATTTGCATGTTATTTATACTGGCAAGTAGAATTAGGATTTGGTTCCATTACCAAAAGCAGCCCTTAAAAAGTATCAATCCATTTCTTATTATACTTATTCTCCAGAATATGAAAAGTTGTACAATTGATCTGATCTTGATGCCTAATGAGTTTTCTGTAAAGAAGTAAAAACTAGGTTCTGGGGGAAAGTTTTGGGAGATCTTAGATTTTGGTATTTAACCTTGTTGGTCCTTGCTATTATACATATTATTTATTATTGGGTGGTTTTTAATCCTCTGGTTTTTCTGCATATGCCTCTCTGAGCATCACAGAAATGTTAGTAGTAAAAAGTAATAAAATGCCATTGCTGCTTAATCACCATTCATGCTTTCCTATTTAAATCTGTCACTGAAAGCATTAGTATTTTAATGTGCGTTCTTCTCTAATGACCTAGTTTGTCTGCGCTTTCTCTGCATTTCCATGGTCTTATTCAGTTCCTGTAACTGTGGCTAATTATTGCCACTTCCAAGCTAGCAAAATGAGTTCACACATACATATTCATTACTTCACAACTGATATGTACAAAAGACCCTTCCCAGGTCAAAAATAACAGATGGGACTTTTTTGTCTCTTTATGAAACACTTTTCACCATGTATCTGTTTCTGCTCATGTTATTAGTCAACTGAATGGGTATTTCAGACCTTTTTTAAACTGTATTTAAAATAGTGAAATACCAAAAAAAAAAAAAAAGTCCACATCACCAACCCAAAAAAGGTTAAATACTAATTATATTGTGGGGGGAAAAAAACCAGAAACTAAATATAGTGATTAAAATAAATTTAACAAAATTACCTGTAATTAACAGGGAAAAGATCCATATAATAACTATAAATAACTATATAAAATTAATTCAGTTGTTAAGCTTATCATTACATCCAGACCATACAGCAGCATGCTGTGCCATCTTATTTTTAGAACACAGAGACTTTTCCAAAATAGGTAACAAATTCATATCATGGATTCATTCCTTAAAATGTGGAGAGTAACTTTATTTCCAGGTCCATAAAATTTTCCTCTTTGCCATATTCCAGGCTTGATAGAGCCATAGTTCTTAATAAGGTGACAATTCAACATCACACTGAGTTCCTTAATTTCCCACTTCCCATTTCACAATTTAAATATATAACAAATTTTGGCTTTCATTTCATATTTTAATACCTTACAAAGTTGAATTGTTGGTTTCTGTTCAAGTACTGAGTTACTGGAGGTGAGTCAGACTCAGAAAGTAATCTCTCAAAATCTTTGAAACAGCCATTTGAAATCACCTGATTTAAAGTATTAATCCTTTGTCTAGCTCAACCATTCCAATAAAACATCTTCTCCGCTGTTTTCAGATTTTGAATTATACCACAGCTTCTGTTTCTCATGTAATTTGGGATTAAAATGTAACCACTTACTTATTAATAACCAAATATATCTAGTAGCTTTCAAAGCAGGAAATGAAAATCTTATTTTAGTATACTTGTCAAAATTTCAGAGGTGTTACACTTGCTCTCCAAGTGGGCCCGAAGAGGAGAAATCTTATTCCAAAAAAATATGGATGTTAAAATAAGAGTCCAGTGATACAGCTGAAAATATGATTAATATCACCATCATCATAAGGTAGCCACAATTTAGCCAACAATATTCTAGAGGTTTTAACCTGCCATAAAAATGTTTCCATTGAATGTTTCAGACTGACCCTTAGGCATTTTGCATTTTATCTACCTATATCTATATAGGTAGATTAAATGCTATCTATATCTATATAGGTATATATCTACAATTATATCTATATCTTTGGTAGTCAAAAAGCTATGTACAAACTAGTGTTGGGTACAAAAATCAATTCCTTGTCCTGTTCTGTATGTTTCTTCGGAAATAATGCTTTGGCCTTCATTACTGAAAAAAAATTGAGCTTGAAAAAGTGTGCACCAAGCCTGGTGGAATTTCAGCAGACACTCAATCTATGCATTAACACCATTTACTGAATGTAAAATAGAAATTAGGAGTCTCTTTTCAACTCTAGCAGCCATTAAATACTATTATTAGAGTTTTGTGTATCTTGTAGGCTTAGGCATTCACCCTGATGCAAGAATTTTAGTGCTGTATTTATAAAAGGGAAGTCAAATCAGGTGGCTTGTAATTCATAGGTAATTGATTAAAAAAGGAATTTTTAAATGTATTTGTTTATTTTACACAGCTTCCTGTGCAAAATCTTTTGAAAGACAAGTACACAATAAAATCAATACATTAAAACAGTATAAATGTGTATAGTAGAAAGGAAGGGGAATGAAAATAAATGCGGAAACATAATTCCATCCATCCAACATCTATATACATACTTACCTGATTGTAAGACAGGGCAAATGCTAGTCAGAAATTAGAGGTGGGGAAATAAATCCTACTTGCACTGCAAGAAGTTTTATTCTTTTGAGCAGCTTATTGCTGTTGCAATTGGCTTTACAAAAATCTGGACTGCATGGCAATCCCTGCACAATAAATGCCTTTAAAAATTATGCCAAATGGCCTGGAGAATCTATTTTATCAAATGTGTATTTCACTTTAATCAGTTGCATCTCTGTATTAGTTGCTTAAGACAAGCCTTAAGGTAATGTCTACTTCAAGTAAAATTTGATTCCGGTGACTGCATGAAAATATCCATGTATTGTGAAGAATATAGAAGTGGTTTGCCATTAACCTCTCTTCCAGGATGTCTTTTCAGCTTCTTACAATTGCTTAATAGTCTCCCATTCGAGAAGTAATCAGGTCCATGCTTGCTTAGCCTTTCTGAAGTCAGATGGGTGCGGTCATCTGCTATCATCCATGTAAATTGAAATTGGTGGAAGGTACTTAAATGTCTCTTGACAATTTGATTAATGTTCACTAATACAAAAGCAAGAAGTTACAAAGATAGGCTTCTACTTAAGTAGCTAAAAGATTCCTTCATAATTATATTAAATGAGTTGTCAATATGGGATTTTATTCTTAATTTTGTAAGTCAATTATTTTTATGGATATGATGATTGATCACATTCTCAGAATGTAGGTTTCTATATGCAGTAATTGTCATATTTTAATGAAATATTTATAGTATGAACACCTCTTTCATTTATTTGATGGGATCCCAGTTGTACTCATCTGCTTTCTCCCTCTCCCCCCCTCCCCATTTCTTTTCAGTTGGCAGGAGGAATCATTCTTGGTGTGGGATTATGGCTTCGTCATGATTCACAAACCTCGCTCATCTTGCAGTCGTCACTAGATGACCAGCACGCTCCTAACACATTCTACATTGGTAAGCAAAAAAGGTTGTGTAACCAATGTTTGCTAAAGTTATGGGAGGGAACTGAAATTAAGGACTGTTTGGTCTTTTTTTTTTTTTTTTGCATCTATGGAGCCTCTACAACTGGCCATCACTGGTCTTTGAGTCAAAAAATGCCCTTGAGAGAATAATGTAATCCTACTTTCTTGCTTAACACCTCTTGTTTATTTATTTGTTTATATGATTTATATAGTTGCCCATCTCACACAAGCGAATCTGAGCTGTTTACTAGATAAGAACAGAAAAACTCATCAAACATAACCCTCCCGGTGCTCCAAGATAAACAGTTGACCCCACTCACCATCAGCAGTACTCACCTGGCCTAAATGCCTAGGGAATCAGCCAAGTCTTCAATGCCTTGTGAAAAGGTAACAGGATTGGGGCCATCTGGAACTCCAGGGAGATGTTGTTCCATAGGGCAGGTGCTGCCCCTGAGAAGGCGCGACTCCGTGTTCCAGTAAGATGCCATAGTTTAATAGAAGGGACCCAAAACATGCCCGCTCAGCTAGTTCTGGTGGGGTGGGCAGAAACAATAGGGGAGAAGTGGCCCTGCAAGTAGCCTGGGTGTATGCCATGGAAGGTTTTGTAGAACTCTTCCTTGTGACCTTGTGAAACTGATACATCTTGGTGGCTGCTGCTGCTTGTTTGGGACAGAGTTCAAATTATTTTGAGAGTGTGTTCTAGAAATACTGTTTTGGTTACAGAGCATGCTGTATTAGTGCAAACAACTCTCCGATACTTGTTAGTACAATTATTTTGTTGTGTTCTTTGTGCTAAAATTGTATGCAAAATATTGTACAGTGTTAAAATTTCAGAATCCAGAATCTTATATGTATATAGTGCCGTAATAGTCAAACAAGTGAAGAGATCTATTAGTGAAAAATATAAATTTTGGAACCTCTCAGTAACCTAGTAGAGGGTCTATCAGTTTGAATGCCATTGTTGTAACTTATTCCTGACAATCTCACCGTCCCCTTCTCATCAGCCCATTTTTGCATTTTCAAGTAAGACGACTACTTCCCTTTGATATTACAGACTGATTTGTTTTGAAGTCAGTGCAGTTGTAGCATTGTGGTCCCATAATTGCTATTGGTTAGACCAAGCAGCCTGGAGTCTGGCACAAGGAATTATTTATTGACTACTTGATTGGTTTATTGTAATTTTGATTGATTTATGTGTGTGCACATGCGTGTGTGCCTTTGAGTCAGTATTGACTCCTGGCGGTTGCCTGGACTAGTCCTTGCAGTTTTCTTGGCAAGATTTCGGAAGTGGTTTCTCTTGCTTTCTTCTAGGGCTGAGAGAGAATGACCGCCTCAATGTCATCCATCTGGCTTTGTGCCTAAGGCCAGACTAGAGCTTACAGTGTCTCAGTTTCTAGCCTGGTGCCTTAACCACTACACACCAGACTGGCTCTCTTCATCAGTTTAGTCCAATGTAATACCTTTACTTAGGCAGCTGGGTCAGACATTTTCAGGTGGATCCTTTTCTTTTCTTTTTTTTTGATTCAGATTTTAAAAGGAGGACATTCCCCCCAAAGAAAGGGATGATTTGTGTTTATGTATGATAACATTACTGCATGTATATTGTCTTCAGACAACCTATACTAATAGCCCCATTTGATAGTGATAGGATACCGACAGCAATGTATTTCAACATTCTTGAAGCAAATAGAATAGAGAACAATTGGACTGAAAAAGAAAAATCTGATTCTGTGATACAATGCTCTTTCAAATGTTTTCAGCTAGCACTGTTTTGTGTAAATATTTGTCCACTACTGAGCCTGAAGGCTATAGACTGTGGGGTAATATATTCTATACTGGCTTAAGAAGAGTAAAAGAAAAAGATCTCTCTTTCTGACTCCCCCACCCCACCCCCAAAGTCAGCCACAGGAAAATACAGTATAAGAGCAAAGCAACAATCCATAGCTGGTTAGATTCTCAAAGGTCATCCACTTAAATCCATGACTGATGCAGAAAATACATTATTGCAAACCTGATAGGTGTTCATCCCATGCAACCTAAAAACACTTATGAAAAGAGATTCCACAACATTTCAAGACAATCTGTTTCACAGTTGAGTTGCTTATATTATCAAGTGGCTCATTCTTAATGTTTAACTTTTATTGCTGTTACTGCAGTTTACTACCCATTGGTTCAAGTTGGATTTTTCCCCGAAACACAGTGGGATAAGAGGATAGTGATAGAAAAGCAACTGTGTTGTCTGCCAGTTACGCCCTTTCCTGGACCAAGAGGCTCTTTGAACAGTCACTCCTGCCCTGGTCATCTCCCATATAGACTATTGTAATGCGCTCTACATGGGGCTACCCTTGAAGAGTATCCAGAAGCTTCAACTGGTCCAGAAAATGGCAGCACAGATTATTTTAGGTACATCAAGATCAGCACATATAACACCTTTGCTCCATGAGCTGCATTGGATGCCAGTTTGCTTCCGGGTCCAATTCAAGGTGTTGTTTATCACCTTTAAAGCCCTACATGGCATGGGTTCAGGGTACCTGAAGGACCGTCTCATCCCCGTTACATCAGCCTGTCCCACCCGGTCATGCAGAGAGGGCATACTGCGGACCCCGTCTGCAAGAGAATTTCATCTGATGGGGTCCAGGGGGCAAGCCTTCTCTGCGGCAGCCCCTGCCCTTTGGAACATCCTTCCCCCAGAAGTGAGATTGGCCCCCTCCCTTTTAGACTTCAGAAAAAAACGGGGGCCAATCTCAATCCCCATGGGGTGGGGATGGGAATAGTCAGTTTTGGGGATGGCTGGTTCCCTAGTCTTACCTTTGACCAATATTATCTGGTTCCCTAGTCTTACCTTTGACCAATATTATCTGGTTCCCTAGTCTTACCTTTGACCAATATTATCTGGTTCCCTAGTCTTACCTTTGACCAATATTATCTGGTCACAGGCTGAAATAATACCACCATTGCTTGGATTTTATTATATTTAATAATTGTATTTTATACTGTATTGTTTATGTTTTTATTGGTTTTAAACTGTTTGGTTGTGAACCATCCAGAGTCCCTCCTTGTGGGGGAGTTGGGCGGTGATATAAATTTGATTTATAAATTAAATAAATAAATAAATAAAAGCAACCCTCTGAATCTCACCATTTCACTGAGATTTCGGTGTCAGAACTAGTTGCATACAAGAGGGAGTGGTTTGTTCCCAGAACGTTCTGTTTTTTCCTAGAACATAAGGTTTTATCCCAAGAACTGATATATATGAACATCCCAGGGAAATTTATGTCTCTTGAGGCAAAACCGCAACACCGTGAACCACTTCCTTGTGTGCTGAGCTGTGCAGTGTGAAAAAGCATGATGTCCTGAGAGCTGCTGCTTGCCCATGTGGATAGCTGAGAGCTCATTCACACAGACTCCTCATCTCAGCTCTAAAAATCCCTCTTACCATAGCTTGAGAACCTTTTCTCACAGCAGAACCTCAATCTCATTGCTAGCCTGCTGCTGAGGCAGGCTGAAACTGTTCTTCCAAGGTGATCTGACACAAAAGTAGTATTTTCCTTGGCAAACAGAAAAAGACTTCCTGAGGAGACAATCTTAGTCATGTGGAGGAGGGAGGTTGGCAATCTGCTGGACTCCAACTGGCACACTGCAGGGCCGCCCCTTCCCATTTAGCAGAAGGGTTCTGTGCCTCCATGGCCATTTGTGCTGTGGCTGCCGGAGAGACTGGATAGTAAAGAAGGTTTTAATAAATCAATGATAAGTAGGATTTTGTGGCAAGAGAAGCTAGTGGGAAAAGGAGCCCAAAATGGGAATTTTAGTTTTAGTTTTAACCCTCTTTTAGGGAGTTCCTAAAAATGAGCAATCAAAAGCCGTACACTATTGGAAGAGTTGGAGTTAACACTTCAGATAGCCAGCCCACTCTTCTCTGGAGCTGAGGAACCTGAACCTGAGTTCATGACCCGTGATGGTAGTGGTGGACGAGACACATTCACCAACAAATCAGTCACCATAACCAAAATAGGTAGGCCACAGAGCTGAGAGCATGGTAGATGAGCACATCAGGGCTGTTCTTGAAAACTTATGCTTTATTGTATAGGTTGGAAGCAGTCAGGACAGCAGGTATAGTTCAACCTCAGAGGTGTTTAAGCATTATCAAGGTGTCCTTCCCACACTTGACAGCACTAGGCAGAGACAAATGCAATTGCTGATTTTAGAAATCAGAATCAAAATTTCAGGCATAGAATAGGAATACTTGTCTTTGTACAGAACCTGTGAAAAAGATCCTGGAATAGTAACTGGTTGCAAACTGAACACAAGTCAGCAGTGGATGTGGCTGAAAAACGGCAATATAATTTTAGGCTGCATCAAGATACATTACTCCAGAAAGTAATTGTTCTGTTTTATTCTGCTTTGGTCAAACCCCATCTTAGGTATTGTATCCAGTTCTGGCTTTCACGTTTTTAAGAACGGTCCAGAGAAACTGCAATAATAAGGATGATCAATGAACTAATCCTATAAAGAGTGAAGGAACTGAGCATGTTTAGTCTGAGAAGAGAAAGCCAAGGGAAGTGTGATAGCGCATTTTAAATACCTGTAATAATGTAACACGGAAGAGGGTCGAATTCTTCATCATTAGGAAATATAGGACCTGCAGTAATATGTATAAGTTAAAGGAAGACAGGTTCAAATGGAATGGTAGAATGAGCGTTCTCTCAGTACAAGCAGTTAAATTACAGTGGGACCTCTAGTTACGAACTTAATCCGTTCCGTGACTCTGGTTGCAACTCGAGTTGGTCTGAAGTCAAGGTAAAGC